ATACACATTATACATGTAAATTATACTATAGTAGATATGTTAACATTTTAAATATATCCATCCATTTAATCCTAACATAAATTCTGTGATGGTGCTTCTGTTATTATCCCTATTTACAGGTGAAGAAACTGGGGCTCAGAGCAACTAGGCTCTTGCCCAAGGTCACAGCACGAGAAAGTGGCAGAACTGGCCTGGAAATCTGTCAACATCTGGCAGAATAAGGAAAGTTCTGTGAGTTTACTTCTCAGTAAAATGAACATCATTAATCTAAAGAAATCACCAGGAGTTTTCAAATGGGTTTCAATTGTCATGATGTACCCAGATTTAAGTAAACCAGGGAAGTTTGCTCTTAAGGTCTCAGAGGCAACATTAAATGTAAGACACATCCCCAGCCTGGGAAACCTATAGTGAGACCCTATCTCTACACTTTGTTTTTTTTGAAATTAGCCAGGAGTGGTGGCATGTCCCTGTCCAGCTACTCAAGAGGCTGAAGTAGGAGGATCAGTTGAGTCTGGGAGGTCGAGATTGCAGGGAGCTGTGATCAAGCCACTGCGCTCCAGCTTGGATGACAAAATGAGACCCTGTCTCAAAAAAACCAAACCCCAAACCAAACCAACCATCAAAGGAAAAATATAAGGCACAAAATTGTTTTTCATTGCCTAAAATTAGGACAATTAAAACCAGAAAATTATGAAAACACTGAGTTTGTATATTGTGTACTTTGCTCTTTGCTGCCCAGCAACACTTAAATTGTACTGTTTTTATTTTCCTGAACTTAAACAACGTGAATTAGTTCGTTACATGTAACAAAGGCTAAACATATTTTATGAATAACAATGAGGTTTCTAAAGGGTATTTAAATAAATCAAAGAATTAGCGTGTCAGGCTCAGCAAGGTCTCAAGTCCCATTCAAATAGGTCGTCAAGTTTTAAAAAGTTCCGAAAAACATTGTTATGTTTTTTCATAAGTAGCTTCCACTTTTTAAAAGACATTTATTATTATATGAAAAAGTTATTTTTAAATTTTAGTAGCAAATATGTCACTCTAGGAAAACATTAATTAAATCTATCTGAACATAAGATTTCCTACTTCATTAATTTATAGAATTCAATAATTCCTCAAAAATTACTGAGTCAGAATGCTTTGGTTTTGAAACATTGATCCATATATCACTCACGGAATATTTCTTTAAGGAGTTGTAAACTTGGAAATATAATTCAAGAATTAAGTTTATAAGCAGGGCGAGGTGGCTTATGCCTGCCATCCTAATACTTTGGGAGGCTAAGATGGGCAGATCACCTGAGGTCAGCAGTTCGAGAACAGCCTGGCCAACATTGTGAAACCCTGTCTCTACTAAAAATACAAAAATTAACTGGGGTGGTGGCGCATGTCTGTAGTTCCAGCTCCTCAGGAGGCTGAGGCAGGAGAATTACTTGAACCCAGGAGGCAGGGGTTGCAGTGAGCTGAGATTGCACCCCTGTGGTCCAGCCTGGGAGACAGGTGACAGAGACTCCATCTCAAAAAAAAAAATTTAAAAAGGGATTAAATTATAAATTGATGGCAATTCTGAGAGAATCTTTACATGAAGATACTGTGATCTGACAAAAATAAAATTGAATGAGACAAAACATGCAGCGAGGCCTGGCTGGGTGTCCAGCGCAGTTGCTGAAAAAGCAGGAGCTCAAAAGCTTGGTTAATTTGACCCGAATCAGGCTTAAAGTATGCATTTATGTTTTCTATTACTCTTTTATTCTCTGAAAATGAAACATTATAAGAAGAGATGTAACAACAACTAATATCGATCATAATTTACAATTTACTCACTCTAGGACTATCGGTCTCCTCTATGGAAAAAGGAAGTGCTGAGTGCTTTCTATTTCTTTTGCTACTAACAGGAAAGTACCTCACAGTGTCAAAAATAATTTCCTCAAAGCCACACAGCTGGCAATGCCACACCTTGAGCCCACGTCTGTCTTCCTTTCAGTATATATAGTGCTCTCTCTCCAGGAAGAACACAGATAACATCATTATCCTGTGCTGAAAATATTTGAAACCTTCCTTCAGCAATTATTTATGGGATTACAGCATCTGTGCATGCAATCCCAGCTACTCGGGAGGCTTAGGCAGAATCGCTTGAACCCGGGAGGCAGAGGTTGCAGAGAGCCGAGATCGTGCCTTTGCACTCCAGCCCAGGTGACAGAGTAAGACTCCATCTCAAAAAAAAAAAAAAAAAAAAAAAAGACTTCAGGCATGGAGAAGAATGTGGAGCTGCTCAAGGCTTTGTTCTGCCTTCAAGGAGTTTAAATTTCAATAGACTCTCTAATGCTAAGAACATTTTTAAAGTTCTGTGGTCATACAACTATTTATATTTATATGTGATCAGTTTTTAACTCATATAACGCATTTCATATGATACTAGCAGCATTCCACCCTCTCTTACTCAGGACAAAATGCTTAGCAAGCTAGCAGCAGTTTTAAGGAAAAATAACAGCATATAAGGAGGGCCTCAACAAAAATGGATTCTATAAAATTAAAAGTAGCCACAGCAAAATAAAGTGTGTGTGTGTGTGTGTGTGTGTGTGTGTGTGTATAGTATCAACACTAACAGATTAAGTAGTTTGCTCAATATCCTGTCCCTTAGAAGGAAAGTGTCTAAAATGGCAAAAACACTTTCAACTCAAATAGACATGTTTTGGTCACATGAGGAGGTAGGATTTATGAAATAAAAAAGAAAAAATCCACTTTCCCTGAAAAGAATCCAAGGGGGCTTCCTATTTTTAGTTGCTGCATATATAGAATCTTGATTTTATTGCTTCCCCAGGGATAGATACCATATTTTCCACTTACTCTTTAATCATTCATTCAACTTTTTTTTTAAAAAAATTGAATCAGTACTCTTTCAGGCAAAGGAGACAAACCAGAAAACATATGAAGTAAGTTGCTGCCCTCACACTATGGTGCAGGACATGAAATTTAAATATATATGTTGTCAATTACTCTGAAGAATAGAGCAGGTAAGGGAATGGAGAGGGAGGAAACATGGGCTGCTTAGCTTGGAGAGGTCCTTTGTATATAGGTAACATTTGAACCAAGATCCAATCAAAGCTCTGAGTTTATTTTGCAAGTAGAACCAACAGAATTTGCTGGTGTATGTAGAGAGAAAGGAAGACAGAAAAGGAAAGGATGAATCCAAGGTTTGGAGCTTGAGAACTAAGTAGAATGGAGATGCCATTGACAGACAGGGGCAGTCTGTGGGAGAACCATGTCATAGTTGGTGAGGGATGAGGGCCTTGAAATTTGCCTTCGGTTTTGGACATTTTAAGGTTGGGATGTCTATTGAACATCCAAGTAGAAACACCCACCAGACGACCGCGTTGATGAGCCTAGAGTTTGGCAGGAGGTTGGGGCTAGCAATGTACATTAGTATGTCCATGGTATTTAAAGCCAGGGGGCTGGAGGAGATCACCAAAGGGGTAGAAATAGACGGGAAAGGGAAGAGAGGGAGACTAAGTCCTCAGATGCTTCAGGGATGACAAGTTTGGAAGACGAGATAGAACGATGAGGACCCTATACCCTCTAGCTGGCTGCTATAAAGAAATAACAATTGTTAGGATGTACATTGGAACTCCAGTGCATTGTTGGTGAGAATGTAAAATTGTGAAAAAGCAACTGTGGAAAACAGTTTAACAGTGGCCAAAAGGTGGAAACAACCAAATGTCCATCAAGAGATAAATGGATAAAAAGGCTACATACATACAATGGAGTATTACTCAACCATAAAAAAATGAAGTTCTGGTGCATGCTACAACATGGTGAATCTTCAACACATTATACTAAGTGAAATAACCCAGAATTAAACACACAAATATATTATTCCACATATATGAAGTATCTAGTATAGGCAAATTTCATAAAGACGGAACGTAGAAAAGAGGTTACCAACGGCTAGCAGAAAGAGGTATGGGAAATTATTGCTTAAAAGTTACAGTTTCTATTTTGGGCGATTAAAAAGTTTTGAGAGTAGGAAGTGGGGACTGTCACAGAACATTGTGAATGTACTTAACGCCAGGGAATGGCACACATAAAAGGTTAAAATGGTAAACTTCATGTTATTTATATTTTATAACTTTTTAAAAAAAGAGATAGAGCTATAAGAAGAGACTGAGAAGGAATGGCAAATGAGGTAGGAAGGTAACCAGGACAGAGTGGAGGCCAAGCAAATACAGTGTGTTGTGGAAGGAAATAATCAGAAGGGTTAGGGGCTTTGGAGAGGTCAAGCAAGATGACTGAGAAATGACAGTGGACTGGGCGAACCAATCAGGACCCTTATATTATTAACATAACTAAAATAATCCTTGCCCTTGAAAGATTCATTCAGTTTCCATTAACCAACGTCATCGGCACACATCTTGATATTACTGGGGCATGAGTGAATTATAGAACTAATTGCTGCAGAGTAACAGAAAGTGCAAGAGAAAAACGAGAGAGAGAGAGAGAGAGAGAGAGAGAGAGAGAGAGAGAGAGAGAGAGAAAATGTCAAATACTTAGCACAGACACCATTTTTACAAGGCTTAACATGCATACTTTTATTCTCTGACCTCATAAGTATGAAATTAATCTATTTTAAAAGAAAATAGGGGACAAGGTGCTGATTGAAACTAATCAATCAAGTTGGGAGGTGATTAATAGAAGGGATTCTTGTATATGCTGCAGGCATATCTGCAATGCGGGTTGAGAAGTGGTCGTTGTGTAGTTCATTACATATCTGTGCAATGTTATTTATTGTTTACTTAAGCAATAACAATTGAAGCACAGGCCAATTCCTGGGAATTAATGACCCGCTGGGAGAGACCATTACCTTTGGACATTAACCCCAGTCAGTTCACAGCTTTTCCAGGAAAATCCCTCTGAAAAATGATTTGTTCTCCATCCCTTGTCACCACATTTAAAAACAATGCTTTAAGTATTCCCGTACTGTAAGATCATTGAACTATACTAACCTTTCTACACTGGAAAGCAACAGTTTCTTTAAGATGGTAGGGGAGAAAAATCTACAAAGACCACCTCTTGATGGCCTTTCTCAGTTTATCCTACTGTGGACAGCAACCTACAGAATAAAAAAGGAAAAGAGAAATGTGAAAAGAGAAACACACTTCAGTGTTTCAATGGGCCTGTTTTGAAACCAACATTTTAATTTAAGTATTTTCAGGGCTTGCAGACTCCCAAACATTTCTATACCAGAGTGCGAAGGAGCTCATAATTCCAGTATTTTTTCTTGGTGAGAGTACACAGGAAAAACATATAGAAGTTGTTAACAAGAATTAATGGAACTAAAATACTGGACCAATTATGAGGTGTAACCTCTTAGCAGCTAGAAAATGGACTCAAAGGCTGAAATAATTCTTACAGTTATGTTTGTGAAACTTAAATTCTACCTTCCTGTTATATTTTCCAAAGCAACTAATAACCAATATTTCCTGAGCAAGGTAATAATTACCAGGATAAGGATTCATAGCATGTTAAAGCTGGAGAGAAGCTCCGTGATCCACAAGGCTAAGACAATATCACTTCCCTAAGGATAGAGAGCTCACGTCTGCTCAGTGTCTAGTCTGTAGTTACTTCGACTTCAACTTTGCGGCCCCCACTATGGTTTCCAGTACCTATTCTGGACATTAAAAAATAAACATTTATATTGCTTACACACAGTACTGAGCTAAATGTTTTCTAAATATTAAATGATTAAGTCCTCCTAATAACTCTATAAAATATCATTATTGCCATCCCTTTCTCTGTAAGAAGGCAACTGAGGCAGAAATAGGTTAGGTAACTTGACTAAGTTCACACAGCTGGGAAACTGGAGAAGGGATTTATATTCAGTCTAGCTCCAGGGAAGGTAAACTGGTCAGTACACTCACTGCCCCTCTTCCCCCAAAGTCCTGGACACGCAAACCAATGATCCTTCTATCACAATCCTCTGTGTTTTTCTTTTTCCATTTCCCAACTTACTCCTGATGCTCCTTGGGCATCTGATCACCCATACATAGAAGGGGAAGAAGAGAATAGAAGCACTTCCAAATCATTTCAACATGTTGAAACAACTTCCACGGAATTAATATACATTTATTCAATATGCATGTTGGGTAGAGGTAAGGTAAGACAAGGAAAGTGATCAGAGAAAACGAATACTGATGGTGTGAGTACTAATTCCAGTGATGCCATTAATAGTTAACATTACTTTATTAAAAGCTTACCTTAATAAACTTAGCCTGGTGCTATATAAACACTTTATACTTATGTAGATTACTGCAGGTAATTTTCATGACAACCTTTTTGGGTAGATGCTATTTGTATTCTCATTTAACAGATGAGAAAATTGAGGCTTACGGGGTTAATTAACCTGCCTAGTTCCTGCAGCTAGAAAATGGCAGAGTCAGGATTTGAACCCATGTCATTTGACTCCATTCTGTGATCTACACACCTGGCCTCCAGGGACCCAGTCAAGGTTCAGACCTGCCCAGTGAGCCTGGGGGACTGAGAAGGACTGACTGACACACATAAGCCTGATATAATCAAATGTCCTTCTTGAGATCCCATCACCTCCAATTTTATTCCTAAGATATGCCAGGACAATTTGGGCCAAGAGGTCACCACTCTCCTGGCTTTGTTTAGGGACTTCAAGGCTTTAAGTAAATAAAAGGGATCATTTATGTTGGTTGTTTTTATACCTTTGTATGTTATTTTTAAGCGTGTGTGTGTGAAAGGGAGGTGGCACGAGTAGTTTGGTCCAAATTGAACTGTAAAATTGCAAGAAACAGCACTAAAAATGTACGGTCAGCCCCCTATGTCCATGGGTTCCACACCCACAGATTCAACCAACTGTGGGTTGAAAATATGATTTTAAAATCTATAAAAACTAACAATACAACAATGCAAATAACACAAGTAAAAAAAGAGCCCTCCACATCCACGGGTTCCACGTCCACAGCTTCAACAAGCTGTAGACTGAAAACATTATTTAAAAATCCATAAAAAAAAACAACAATAAAAATAATACAAGTAAAAAAGACCATTACAGTATCAAACTACTTACATAGCATTTACATTGTATTGGGTATTATTAGTGATCTAGAGATGATTTAAAATATACAGGAGGATACGCATGGGTTATATGAAAATACCATGCCATTTTATATAAGGGTCCTGAGAACTTGTAAATTTTGGTACCCAAGGGGGTGCTTGGAACAAATTCCCTACGTCTATGAAGGGACAACTATACTTTCATTAAGCCTTTATTGCATAATTGCACTTCATACATATTTTCTTATTCAGTATCCCTGAAATGAACCAAATGTTTATGCCCTCCTTCAGAAATTCATATGTTGAAATCCTGACCCCACCAGATCACAGTACAAGGAGGTGAGGCATTTGGGAGGTGAATTATAAGAGTGGAGCCTTCATGAAGTGGTTAGTGCACTTATAAAAGAGACACTTGGCCGGGCTCAGTGGCTCACACTTATAATCTCAGCACTTTGGGAGGCCAAGGTGGAAGATCAAATTCATATGTTGAAATCCTAACCCCACTAGGTCATGGTACAAGGAGGTGGGACATTTGGGAAGTTAAATTATGAGAGTGGAGCCCTCATGAATGGGTTAGTGCACTTATAAGAGAGACATTCAGCAGGGAGCAGTGGCTCACACTTATAATCTCAGTACTTTGGGAGACCAAGGTGGGAGGATCCCTTGAGCCAAGAAGTTTGAGATCAGTCTGGGCAACATGGTGAAACCTCATCTCTATAAAAATATAAACATTATCTGGGGATGTTGGTGCATGCCTGTAGTCCCAGCTACTAGGAAGGCTGAGGTGGGAAGATAACCTGAGCCTGGGAGGTTGAGGCTGCAATGAGTCATGATCAAGCCATTGTACTACAGCCTGGACAACAGAGTGTACCCAGATCTCTTAAAAACAAAAAGACCCCAGAGAGCTTCCTTCCCCCTTTCACCATCTGAGAAGACAGCATCTATGAACCAGGAAACCAGATCACCCATATGTTGACATCTACTATCCCATATGATGCTATTGGGAGGTGGGGCCTTAGACAGGTAATTATGTCATGAAGATGGAGATTTCCTAAATAGGATTAGTGTTGACATAAAAAGAGCCATTAAAGAGCTTTCTTCTTTCGCTCTTGGGATACAAAAAAAAGACAGCTGTATCTGCATATCAGGAAGCAGACCCAAACCAGACACCAGATCTGCCAATACCTTGATCTTGGATTTTCCAGCCCCCAGAACTGTGAGAAATAAATATCTGTTGTTAATAATCCATCTATGGTATTTTGTTAGAGCAGCCCAGAGAGACAATGATACTTCCCCACACTACTTGGCCAATCCTCTTCCCTTCTCTTTACAGATGAGAGAACTGTGATTTCAGAGATACATAGTGCCTTGCTCAAGCTACAGCAACTGTATCTGATGGGACTGGTTCTCAAACCTAGTTCTTCTGCCTGGACAGTCCGATACAGGGTATAACATGAACTGGCCTGTTGAGAACTGAGAGCTGAATCATTGTAAAAACAAGTTACTGACATTTAATAATGTATACCCCAAGATTCCTATATGCAGCATCAGCAGAGCCAGCAACAGAGAAGCTAAAGGGTATTGAAAATTCATAGGAGGAAAGAGCCCCCAAGGTAATGTTGGAAATGGCCAGTGGTCAAGGGTACTGGGTGTGTGAATATCCCTGTCCATATCACCTAAGACAACAGCCACATGACTCTACAGACCTCCCTGTGAGAGACATGCTGTGTACCCTCAGAGGATCAAAACAGCATAGTGGGCACTAAATGCTTACTTACTGCCTAGATCATCTGTTTGCAAGTCAGCTTCTCACTTTGACATTGTTAGTGGCCATTCTTTCATTTCTCCCCCAAACTCATATGTTGAAGTGCTAATCCCCAGGTACCTCAGAAGGTGACTATATTTGGAGACATGGCCTTTAATTAGGTGATTAAGTTAAAATGACATCTTGATAGTGGCTCTGAATCCAATCTGACTGGTGACCATGTAAGAAGAGAAAATTTGGACACACAGAGACACCGGAGACACAGGTGCACAGAAGAGAGACCCTGTGGGGACCCAGAGAGAAGGTGGCCCTCTGTAAGCCAAGAACTGAAGCCTGGAACAGATCCTTCCCTTGTGGTCCTCAGAAGAAACCAAACCTGCTAACACCTTGATCCTGGACTTCTAGCCTCTAGAATAGTGAAGAAATAGATTTCTCTGATTTAAGCTACACAGTCTGTGGTATTTTGTTATGACAGATTGAGCAAACTAACACAGACATAAAATTTCATAGCCTTAGTTTGATTTTAATGTTTAGCCAGAGCTCGACCATTTCAATGTGAAATATTTTAAAATGGTTCAAATGTCCCCGTCTAGGATGGAGATTCTTCCCTGCCCTTTCTTGAAGTTCGGAGCACCCTATTTGTCCAGCTGACTTCTAAAAGTTTTACAAGTGCTTCCTGTTTCATTTCATGTAGACTGCTTTTCCCCTCAGGCAGCTTTTTAAATTAAACACCTTCCTAAGTTAGCTGGCATATTTCCAAATAATGTATTTGACATTTCGATGCAAATTGCAAGTGAATATTTAGTAGCAATCCCACATCCTGAAACTCAATTACTATCTCATGAAGGAGAAGAAAAGGAGAACTACAATGACGGAGGCTCATCACAAAATAAGACTGGAGTTTTGAGTCTCTATGACAACAGCATATGTAGACTCCCTTTTTCAGAATGAAACTCTCAAGTGTCTAAATCAAATTTTTCTTTCAGTAAATGTTTATGGAGCACTTAGTAGGTGCTAGGGGCAAGTATACAATATTTTAATGTAGCTGTTATAGTACTGGAGGCATTGGGATTAGGCAGATTTGATTTGATCTTGGAGTCATTTAAGTTAGAAATAAAATATTGCATTTTAAAACTCCAATAATGTTTACAGTAGACACTCATCCCTTATCTTTCCTTTTTAAGAAAGGAAAGAATCAAGAGCAAGACACCAGTGACCCAGGGAGAGGGTGGAGTTGAGGGGTACAGGACCAATTTCTAGAATGCAGTGCAGCTCAAAATCCCCAGTCAGACTGTATTTTACATGATGGGTATTGCTTGGTGATGAGGAACTTCACATTCAAGCCTGTCGAAACAGCCACCATGTTATACTGGAGGTAAGACAATGCATAATACTGACCTCCCATTAAGGCCCTTACAATCTGAAAGATAATGTCACCCTGTGGATCCACTCATTTGATAGAGATGAATTCAATTTTAATTGAAATAGAAGAAATGGAAGAGACAGAGGAAGAATGTGACATGCTTTATGAGCTATGATGACAAGGGTCTTCATTCCTTTTCACAACCAGGGTGGAGTACTAAAGGGGATGGGTATGAGGGAAAGGATAGGGAGTAGGAACCGTAACTGCAACCCTTTCATGCTCTAGCAGTCAGCAGGGATGATGCCGTCTTGGTCATACCCACTGCTTATCCTAAAGCCAGAAAAAGATACAAGCGCAATAAGATAACACAGAGCATCTTTGAGTGCTACCACTGACATGTTCAGAGACATGTTTCTTATGGAGTTGCCATAAATGGTAGGTTGAGGCTTGGAACCTACCATTTTTTCACCCTGTTGGAGGTGAGCAAGCATTATTCAGAGGCCCTGATTTATCCTCAAGGCATTTACCTGATAAAAGGTCATGAAAAAGTAGCAAGATTTCTCTCCCAAAAAAGCGCTTCTATTTATAAATAGATTTAGAATTTTCGAAAGGACATTCTTCCCATTCTACAGGTATATGATGACTTTCAAATGTCTGAGGATTTATAGTCCAGGTTCTTATAATCTCTGTAGAATGAGCTTAATTTCACTAGCAATCACTAATGAATTATTGGCACTGTTCGCTTCACTTGAATTGCACAGTAGCTAGTTCCTAGAGTTTAAATAACTTCTCCCAGCCCATTAGGTTAAGTTGCCTAAGGTCTGGAATTTATGTTTTAAAAGATGTTCATGGGGCCAGGCGTGGTGGCTCATGCCTAATTTCAGCACTTTGGGAGGCTGAGGTCCATGGGTCATGAGGTCAAGAGATTGAGACCATCTGGCCAACATGCTGAAACCCCAACTCTACTAAACACATAAAAAATTAGCCGAGCGTGGTGGTGCACACCTGTAGTCCCAGCTACTCAGGAGGCTGAGGCAGGAGAATCACTGGAAGGCGGAGACTGTAGTGAACCAAGATTGCACCACTGCATTCCAGCCTGAGTGACAGAGGGAGACTCCATCTCAAAAAAAAAAAAGATGTTCATTTACGAAGAAATATTGCAGAATAAACATTCAAATACCTATGATAATTATTAAAAAAGAAAAAGCAAATCATCTTAAAATCAATATTAAAAGTCTTTTAACTTCTCTTACAATCTACGCCATCTGAATCTACTCCATTGGTAAAATAATAAAATGAAAATCAAAACCCCTCAAAGTACTAAGTTGGATTTCAAAATAATTATAATGGTAGCCCCATTTCATATCCGATTTAGGATTGACATTGCCAAAAAGAATGGTCCATAAAATCACTTTAGTTTTATGCTTAACTCAATCGGTCAATGAATGGCAAAAGACTCCAATTTCCTAGTCAGCAGTCTCGTTACTTAAAGCATGCTGATAGTCGTAAGTTCATGTGGATTTAGGCAGAAATCATCCCTTTGAAAAAACAGCTCTATGATTCAGATGCTTAATCTCTTTCCCTACGTGGAAAGGTGATCCTTTTTTACTGCACAGACCTCAATCTAAATCGACACTAGATGTTTTTTTGAAAAATTAAAGTACAGTCAATACTAATGGAAGGCAACAGGGACCAAGACAACCTCAGAAGGCAGCTAATCCAAAATGTGTTTAGCTTTGGCTAAATGGAGATTTAAAATGGATAAGCTGGGAGCTGATCTGATCTTAATCCCCAGCCACATACCTGAGCATTTCTTTTTCAATCTTAAAATCGTCCGTTGGTTCCAACTAAGAAACTAAAGTAAAGCCAGTAAGCAGTTAGCCTATTCCCCAAGCGTGTATCAATTCCGCAGCTGACGGGAAGGGCACTAATCAACAACAGCAGGTGTCAGTTACTCTAACGGCTTCCGTTCCTCAAGTGCCGCCTGATTCGGGCACTGTCTGCACCATTTCAAACTCACAGTACAATTTTCTCTTCTACGATACTTTAAGTAGACCAAAGGCAGGGAAAGTATAATTTCCATTTCTTGAGACAGATCAAGAAACAGGCACGTCTGGCCAAATATGACAACCCCATTCTAACTCCCTAATCTCCTTAGGCAGAAAATACAGGGTTAAGCATGGCAAATAGTGATTTTGCAATGGTAAGTGAAAGCCTATTCATATGCCAAACTGTGTAAACATAATCCTTTAGACCTTGGGAACACATTACCGACGTAAAGCTGCCATTTAGCAAAAGAAAATAAACATGTACAAATAATTATAATTTATTAATCTTGCTTTCTCTTCCAAAAGCAAGGCAGCGATGGAAAGCAACATTATACCCGATTCCATTATCACTGGGTAAGGAAGTTGTTCAATGTGTGTGTGTTTGGGAAGCAGTGGGAGAGGAAGAAGCCAAGCACAGAGAAAATACATAATTGAATAAAATGCCTTATAAAAGCTTAAGTTGTATATACAAAAAGAAAGGAAAACAAAAATGAAAAGATGAAGTGTAGGAAATTAATGGTATTTAAATGAAATAATGGAACTTCATTCTTTAGAAGCAGTTGCGGAGCCCTTGATTTGTTGCAATCTGCTTTTTCAGACTAATATATAATAATGGCTAATACGTACTAGGCACCTACAAAGGGCCAGCACAGTCTCTGCTTTATGTGTCTGAATTTACGTCCTCTTCCCAAGGACTCAGTGAGGCAGGTGATATTACAACACTCACCTTACAAAGCCAGAGGCAGTAGGTGTAGTGGCTCTCACTTATAATCCCAGCACTTTGGAAGGCCAAGACAGGTAGATAACCTGAGATCAGTAGTTCAAGACCAACCTGGGCAACATGGTGAAGACCCATCTCTACTAAAAATATAAAAATTAGCTGGGCACGGTGGTACACACCTGTAGTTCCAGCTACTCAGGGGGCTGAGGCAGGAGAATTGCTTGAACCTGAAATGCGGAGGTTGCAGTGAGTCAAGGTCTGCCCCTGCACTCCAGCCTGGGCAACAGAGCGAGACTCTGTCTCAAAAAACAAAAAGCCAGTGACACTGTCTGAGTTCAGAGGCATAGTCTATTTAAGTGACTTGCCCAGAATGATAGCTCTGGTAAGTTGGGAAATGAGGATCAGAACACAGTCTGGCTTTGAGGCCTCTCACTCACTTCCAACAATGATCTCTTCTCAGCTGATATATTTGGGACAAAATGAAGCATTTCTGTTAGATGCTTGATGTGGAATTTCTAAAAAATCACAATTCATCTCTCCACATAATCACAATGCCATAAAGGAAAAGAAGAGGAAAATAGTTTTTGGATTTTCCATGGTGTTTAGCAACTAAGTGCAAAGAAACTGTTTCCTTAGAAAGACCATGTGGGTCACCATCTAACTGGCATGTGAACATTTTTTTCGGCCAATGAGAACATACAGACAGGAATGCTGATTGGACCATAGTGGCTAAGAACACAGAGCATCAAACATCAGCTCCACCATTTACTGGGTGTTAGATCATGAGCAATTAGTTCAACTCTAAGTTCCAGTTTCCATTTTAGTAAAATGAAGGTAAGGATACTCGCTTCACAGTACTAATAGAAGAAAAACTGAAATAATGTATCAAAATGATTTATTTTTGTGAGGAACCTCCATATTGTTTTTCTTAATGGCTATATTAATTTATATTCCCATCAACAATATACAAGGGTTCCCCTTCCCCATATCCTCACTACTATATTTCAACAATACTTAACAATTAGATTTTAAATGTTCTCACTAAAAAAATAAGTATGTAAGGTGATGGATATATTCCTTAGCTTGATTGAATTACTCCACAATTTAAATATACATCAAAACATCACATGGTACACCAACTAGATATACATTATTTGTTGATTAAAAATAAAATAAAGTAGACATAAGCACTGGGATTACAGGCGCACACCACATCTGGCTAATTTTTGTATTTTTAGTAGAGTCAGGGTTTCACCATGTTGGCCAGGCTGGTCTTGAACTCCTGATCTCAGGTGATCTGTTCCCTGCGGCCTCCCAAAGTGCTGGGATTACAGGCGTGAGCCACCATGCCTGGCCCAAGCCACCGCACCCGGCCTCTTCTTTGAACATTTGTCAGTGTCGAAGATTGGTACACCTAGCTGTATATACCATCACCAAAAATGGCATATTTTTACCACTTTGCTTCCATAACTGGATGCAATTGAATTGTTAATTTTAAAGTAACTATTAATTCTGTCGATGCTATGGATGCACATAGCTAAAATCAAGTAATGGTGAATGGATCATAACAAAAAGACCTGTTCTTGTCCACTATGCCCACCTTCCTCTCCCAGTCCTCAATGTGTTAGCTGTTTGCTGTGCCACTTACCTCCATGTTTCTAAATAATATACTTTTATTTCTATTTTTGATTTATCAGTTTAGTTAAAATAGCCTTCAACTGTAAAGGGCCACCTTGTCCAAGATCGTGATCCCTCCTGCATTAATTATGACCCCTCACGCATTAGCACACACCATGACAAAATACAATAAACTGGGTAGCTCAGACAACAGATATTTGTTTCTCACGGTCCAAGATCAAACTGACGGCAGATTGGCAGATTCAGTCCCTGGTGAGGGCTTTCTCCCTGGCTTGCAGATAGTCACCTTCTTGCTGTGTCCTCACATGAAGAAGAGAGAGAGCTCTCATTCCTTTTTCTTTTTCTTTTAATAAGGTCTTCAATCCCATCATAAGATCTCCAGCCCGACAAACTCATCTAACCCTAATTATCTCCCAAAGTCCCCACCTCCAAATACCATATTGGGGATTAATGGCTTCAACATAAGAGTTTTGGGGAGACACAAACATCTAGTCCTTAACATCTCCCTTGCTCAGTTCCAGTAACTGGTAGATTCAGGGGGTATAAAGGCCCAAACTCTTTGATTTAAGGCAGAACCACTGGGGTGGGGGGGGTCCTTAGAGGGAGATCTTTGTTGTAACCATATCACCATCACATTTCAACTCCTCACACTGCCCTATCCTGCTTCCTTCTTTCTCCACAGGTGTTGACCTTCAAGACAGATACTTCTCCGTAAACTTCCTGCACAGAGTATTTCTTACAGGGAACCCAACCTAAGATACTGTTGTAGACTTTCTGCCATGGTAGTGAATCTAGCACACATGCACACTTCCTTTCTAATTCGCTCAGTATATTTACATAACAACTTTTGGTTAAACAGTCACCATTTATATCACTGTAACAATAAAATACTGTTCACTGCTGAGCTAAATAGCATCCTATTATTACCGTTCCTTTCTCATACATGTTTTGTCTTGCAATTAATAAAACTACTGTTTGTTCATCTGCTTAGTTTCTACATTTAATTTCTCCCAATCTGTCAATGGATCTATCAAATGACTCAATGAATTTTGCAAATCCCTTATATAATAACTACTCTAGTAACTGTATTTGGCTCTTCGATAATTCTCTCCTGTAGCACTTTACCTTCCTTATATAATAGAAACTTATTGCTCTACACAGGTGTCATTCTGACAACTCTCTTTATCATTCTTCTGTCAGCACCTTGATTTCACAAGTCTCATATATGTATCTTTCTTGGTTTATTCCTTTGTTTTACTGGAGTCTATTTCTTTAGTAACTTTCTCTAAGATGTGGGAGGTATATTTTGAGAGTGAACTTTCTCTAAGATGTGGGAGGTATATTTTAAGAGTGCATCCACATTTGTTATTCTTTACTTACATGTGATTGATATTTTGCCTGGGCATAAAACTGTTGGCTGAAAACCACTTTTTCTCCAGATTTTTAAATTTTCTTTTATCCAATGTTAGCAAAAAGTCCAAAGTCATTCTGATACTCTTTGGGTATGAATGGTTAATTTTCTCTGGAAGCTTAAGAAAATTATGTTTTACTCCTGGTGTTTTGAAATGTTGTGATGTGTTGGGTTAGTCTATTTTTTATTCACTGGGCCAGGTGTTTAGTGGTTAGCAGGCCCATTTAATTTGGATTGCTGTGCTCTTTTCTGATCTAGAGAGTATTTTTCTTCATTATGTCTAATAATTTTCTCATTGTTTCCTCTCACCTCCCAGGAATTTCTTCATTGGAGACAATGAACTTATATTGATCTTATAATTCTGTTTTCTATTCATGTTTCTGTTTTTTTCTTCTGTTGCTTACTGTATTTTTAATTTTCAAGCACTGTCTTGGTCTCTGTTTCTTTTACAGAGCTTCCTGTTTTTATGGGCATATGCCTCATATATCTGTATATACTAGAGATTTTTTTCTCAAGTTTTCTTCTGCTCCCTGAAAAATCCTGTTTCGTCCAGGTGTCAATTTGAAGCTTTCCTAAAATGCTACATGATTCTTGACTTTTTTATTCTTAATATTTACAACTGAGGCTTTTCACTATTTATCCTTGGATCTCACTTCAGCCTTCAACTGGTGTCTCTGCATTTCTCTAGAGAAGAGTTCCAGTATCCTCCAGGGAGGATGAGTTGGGGAGAAGACCTGATGTACATCTGTTGTGTAGCCTTTCTGGTAAAGCATCTCTCTTCAGCCCATGCCTCAGCACAGCCTTTAGCAGTTCCAATGTCCTGGGTGAAGTTGCAAGGAGCATGCTAACTCATTTCTTGGTGATAATGTCCTCTGTAGGCTAGGTGGAAATTTCTTCTGCTCTGATAAATTAATTACCATCTGCTTCCTTGCTTCAGTAATGTTTGTTAAAAGATTTTTCCACTGTTGCCTTTTCTCTGGCTCTCTTTGTCCTTATGAATTAACATATTTTGGGTTTTCTTAAAGCATGTTAGGTGGGTTTAGAGAGGGAGAAAACACAAACATAAGCACACGGTCATTTTTAAGTAGAAGCCCTGTAATATGTTTTATTTCCAAATATGCATTTGTCATTTCACAAGTCTTTATGATGAAGTAAGAATTATTTCTAACACAAGAATTTAGCCTCTCCGTAAGGTGAGAGTCTTCATTTATTGAACTTTGAGAAAATGGTTCATTCCTCATACAGAGCTAACAAAGGAGAGTTCATACTTTGAAAACAGGAAAAAAATACACACACACACAAAAAACAAGATTTCCAAGGTAGGGAGTCACAGTTTTTTGTAAAACTCAATAAAATTTTTAAAGTGTGTTCTTAAGTATACCTTTCTTTACAGGGCCATTTAGTAGCATAAAATATGCAGGTAAAATATACATTGTACATTTTGCACAGAGCATACAAGCTTAGGCAAAGAATCTTGACATGTATTGTTCTATTAAGCAAATCTCTCCAGAGATATGGAGATTATAAACCGTAAATGTTATTATTCTGTGAAAACTTAGTGCCAGCAATGAGGTCATATCAAATTGCCATACATACAAAGAGAAGGCAAAAGTCCAACCTTGACATCAAAGGCAGTCAGCTAATAATTTAGTGGACATGTATACATGATGAAATTGTATTCATGTACAAGCTATGCAAACAGAAAAAAGAAATGAGGCCATGTGATAAAATAGAGCCTTTCTTTTCAATTTTTGCTCAAAATATTGCTGTTTTTATATATAAGAAAAATGGGTGTAAGAGAAACTCAGATGAGAGGACTGAGAATATGGGATGTATTTGGGACATTTAAGTCATCTCTTTGGCAGAGTTACTACTCTTCCAGGCGTAATGATTTCTGTAAATTATTAAAACTTCCAGGCTTGTAGCAGTGATTTGGTAATAAGTCCAAATGTATCAGGGCATGAGAGAACATCAAAACATTACACTGAGTGTTAATGTTATCATTTGGTCCAGAAATTATGTCAGTAAATAACATCTGCTAGAAATAATTATCCTGCATTTAAGTTGAAAATGATGAGATATTCTGGGGAAGATTAAATAGGAACTTTATATTTGTTATAAGAATTCAATAATAATCTTAAAAGTAAAAGTAGAAAGCTACTAGATGTGGTGTGATTAAGGGCAGACCCATCTCTGGCTTCTGGCTAGTCAGGCTTATGTGTTCATTTTATTGCACTGGTCTGAAGTCTGATTTGAGAGCTCAGATAATACGTACACTATGGAACTCTGGATATTTACAATCAGAAATCTGTGGCTTCATTCATAAATAATAGTTAACATACCTGAGTTATTTATGAAATATGCTCCTACTTTGCATTGTTTACCAGTTTCACATTTTTCACCCCACATTTTAGCAATTTGCCCACTGGGACTTAAAGGCTTTTCTTTTTTTGGATAAGAGGACTTAAAGAAATATATCTCAAAAATAAAGTACTCTGTCCTTGTGTGCATGTGTGTCCCCAAGTCAGGACTAGAGGAAGACAAGCGACACGTTCATTTCAGGTGAAAATCTCAATAATATAGATAAATAATATTTTAATGTAACGCTTTAAAAATCAACATTAATACAAAAAAAAAACCACTATGTGGCATAACAACAAAAGGTAATATATTCTGGAACAAAAAAAGACATTGCATAAAAACTAAGGAAATGAATAACGCATGGACTCCAGTTAATAAAAACTCTACGATGAACAAAATTTCAAAACTTTAAATATAGACAGTCTGTATCTGTGTTTACTTTCACGTTCACATCAGACTCCAACATAGCTTGGCATGTGTTTGTGTATTTATTTCTCAAGCTTATTTTTGTTTTGTTGTAGGTCCAACAAATAAACAAAACTGTAGCTATGATTCCCAATTTCTGTATCATACAAAATTTATTAAATCCTACCAATGAATACTATTATTTGTCCAAATAGTTTATAAACACCTCAGCTACAGATCCAACTCCCTGAACACAGGAAATAGCTTATATTTTACCGTACCAGTCATATCACCTAAAACTTCAATATTTTACATGAACTACTAAATAAATATTTTGACTGATATGGAATAGAGCGAAAGTACTAAACTGGAAATAAGGAACCCTAAGTTCTACTTCTGGTTCTGCTACTATTTCAGGCAAGGCATTTAATATCACTGAGGCTCAGGACTCATTTGTTAAATTGGTTGGGTTACACAATGATTTCTAAAGCTCCACTACTTTTAAGAGTTTATAGATTTGTAATTTTTTAAAATTTATTTTTTCACTAGCAGTAATTAAGAAAATCATATTAAAGAAGACATGACAACATAAAAGAATACAATAATTGGTTTTGGTCTGGGCACAAGGCTTAAACCTGTAATCCCAGAACTTTGAGAGTTCGAGGCGGGTGAATCACCTGAGACCAGCCTGGCCAACATGGCAATATGCTGTCTCTACTAAAAATACAAAAATGAGCTGGGTGTGGTGTCACACGCCTTTAATCCCAGCTCCTCAGGAGGCTGAGGCACGAGAATCACTTGAACCCAAGAGGCAGAAGTTGCAGTAAGCCGAGATTGAGCCACTGCATGCCAGCTTGGGCTATAGAATAAGACTCTGTCTCAAAAAATACACAAAATAATTGCTTTTGGGACTAAAAGAACATTATCATAGAACCTGTGAGTTCTTAGGGTGGAAAAAGCTAAATATTGTAGTGTAGCTACAGTTGAAATGGACAAATACACTTGTGGCACCCCAAATTCATTCTGTAAAAGAATTTTCCTATTAAAAACCTAAAAAAAGGCCAGGTGTGGTGGCTTACATTTGTAGTACTGGCAAAGGAAGGCCAAGGCAGGTGGATCACCTGAGGTCAGGAGTTCAAGACCAGCCTGACCAATATGGTGAAACCCTGTCTCTGCTTTAAAAAAAAAAAAAATAGGCAGGCATGGTGGCAGGTGCCTATAATTCCATTAGTCAGGAGGCTGAGGCAGGAGAATTGCTCTAACCCAAAGGTGGAGATTTCAGTGAGTTGAGATCTCACCACTGCACTCCAGCATGGGCTACAGAGTGAGATTCAAAAAAAAAAAAAAAATTGTTTTATTACCAGGCAGTCCATGAAAGCTTTTTAGCCCATGATTGATCTGATATAAATAATCTTTTAAAATCCAACACATTTGTAAAAATTATCCTATGAAGAGAAATAAAGTTCTAAAGCCAGCATATAAGTTTTGAAATATAATATTTATTATAGAATAATTACATTATAATTAACTTTAGGTGATTTTTCTAGAGAGAATTCTACACAGTACTGAAAAATGTTACAAAAATTATATTTCTTTGTCCTATCAAAACCTGAATCTTGTTTTATACACCTCAAGTCTCTTTTATTCAAATTTCTCTAGTAATGCCATATTTGGGCCATAAAAATCCTAATTTCTAGATTTCACAAGGAAACAGAATAATGACAATTATAACTCATTTCCAATAAGCAAGTTCACAACATTGAAAAATGTTAACATAACATGCATTAGTAGGTCTTAGGCCTTGTGGGGCAGATATTAAGTAGTTTGTGGAAATTAAAAATACTAAGGTTGGAATTAAGTTAAAAGTTTGAGTCAAAAATTATTTTTAATGACGTTTACTTCCTCACAAAGATACAAAGTAAAAGCTCTAAAGGATTTTAATTAGAGTATTGTTAGGAAGTTATTTATAAATTGAATAAAATGCTAAAGAAGTTTTAAATGTATTTTACATGTTTGAAAAACTACTGAAAGAATTTTAAAGGGCTTTTAAATGTATTTTACATTTACTCCTGCAGGTAGGATGAATTTTTTTGTGTGCTTTATTTGAATTCAAAGTAATTTATTTGTCAAATTGTCTCTTCCTCACTCCCCAAAACAGGGAGATAAATATATCTGTAACTATTTAAAAAAATTTTTTTCCACAAATTGTAGTTGAGAAGAGGTCAACAGAAGACTAGAAATTATGAAGGAGGTAGACTGACATAGAAATTTAAGCAAATTGAATTTAGAAGTTTAGGCAAAGCCAAACTCTTCCAGATCATTTCTAGATATTGACATGCTTACCTACACTGTCTTATTTACCTATATTTATGTGACCTTGTAAATAGTGAAAAGCTATCACTTAAATTCAGCCTCAGTATTCCCAATATCATAAAAGTGAACATCCCTCTTTGTATATGTTCCCATTGGCAATTTTTTGAGGTGCCTTAAAAAGAACAAACTATAGCAGGTAACTTACACAGTGTTTAAAATAGCAGCTAGTTCCATGATCTAGTGAGCCAAAACCCCTGGCTCTGGATGAAGTTGGTTTGCTGAATTTGTTTCTTCCTTTTATGCTACACTTTTAAAAAGTTACTACCTTACCAAATAATGGGTCATTTTTCATGACAGTTAAAAGAAATAATCAAACGTAAGCTTTTGGATGGTCATGGCAACTGTAGTTATGCTGTGCTTTCATATAAAGTTATTGTTAAGAGATATCCAAACATACACCTCAATTGTCCATTGTGGCTAGGCAGATGGCGATAGAAGGGGGACCTGTCATTTAAATGAGGCACCATTTTCATCAACATGCTCACTGGTTACGAAGCAAAGCTAAGCTACATCTGAGTCATTACTTTCTGGCCTACGATATAAAAAATTGATCCATTAATCTATGTAGCTCCACGTCTAGATCCTTTTCATGATTCCGTATGTTTACCTGAAAAGCTGCATTGTGTCTTTTATAATTGAGCCATGCAGAAAGATTAGACACAATCCTATTTATTTTCTTCAATTCTGAGCTCTATTTTACACAATAAATTCATAGGGAAGAGTGTAGATATGGAATTTTCATGAGGTTGTACTTAATTCAGGAAGCATGTGCTTTAAGAATTTACATATTCTGTATAATGTAATAAAATGAAATGGCATGTGAGTCTATTTTTTTCAAACTCTATTTGTGCTTTGGTCCTAAAGAAAGACCACACAGAAGGCTTAGAAATAATTCATATAGGATACACTGATTACTCCATTTTAAAATCAGGTTGCCAAATGATGACCTCACTTCACTGACTGCAGATAATTTTCCCATTACTCTGCCTTGGGAATCTAGATTTTAAGAAATAATTGTTTATTCTGAAGTTGGCAGTTTTTATTTTCAGTTAAAAATTATACATATATATATATATATGTATGTGTGTGTGTTTTATATAATAAATATATAAATATGTATAAATTATATTTATATATATATATCTTATCTTACCAATAAGGATAACAAATTCTTCTTTTGAGATATTAATGCTATCAGACCATTGTCAAAACCAAACAAGAGTTACTGGCCAAAATGAGTGTGTTCCGGCCCATACTAGACACAGCTGCAGTTCAGTTGGCCCCGCGTCTAGGCCCCATCTGTAAGGCTTGGATGCATGGTGACACTGGCCAGTCTGCAGCCTATTTAAAGAAGCCTGAGAAAGCTAGGCAGACAGATGGTGAAGCAATACGGTAATGAGGAAAATTTAGCTTATGTTGATGTCTTCTGCCTTCCAAGAGGATGTTGCAACCACCAAGTAACACTCCATAATGGGGCATCTATCACTCACAGGCATGCAAACGTTTGTGCTCATCCACAAAATATCAGTTAAGGTGTATGTGTATTTCACCATATGTAAACAGAATACAACATACGGCTAACACAACAATTAGCAATATGCACTGCCTACTGCAATTACTAAGTAATTTTAATTCCATTGGATTGGCCACTACCCCATTCCTCTCTCAAGGAGGTTTGGTTGTTTGTTTAGGTTTTGGTTTTCATTTTTTGTGACTCAGCTCAAGTGAAATTAAAGTATTAGAAATACTGGATTACATCCAATGCAGAGTAAATATTAAGATGGTCTTCTTTCAGAATACCCCCAACAGGAGGAGGGAAGGAACCAAAGCAGGCCGGTGTGCTGGAGCCCAGGAAGTAAGGTCAGATGACTTCAAGGAGTTGAATTTAATCCCAGCTGCAAGTAAAAAATGCTGATGATTTTGACTGGGGGTGTTTGTGGGGGCAAGGTGGAGGTGCCCTGACTCAACTTCCATTTTAAGGCTCTCCTTTTTCCACTTACTGGGCAGAGAATGGGTTAAAGAAGACTAGAAAGCCAATGGCAGGAAAACAGACTAGGAGACTGCGGCATTTTCCTGCAAAATGAACAATCCAGCTCAGAGCTGAAATATCAAAACATTTGCAACATAACTGATAGGATGGGCAGACAGGACGGCACCAGCCACGGTTACTGGCTCTCCCTGGCACGCCTCATTTCTTTATGAAGTTGCTTTTTGTGCCTTAAATCTCAGTGCCATTATGATTTATGACCACATGCAATCTTTTAAATTAAGATTTGTTTGATTGTCTGTTTCTATTAAGGTGACCATAATAGAAATTTTCCTTCTCCAAACAAATGTTTTGCCGAGCACTGCAACTCAGAGTCTGTGTATGGATCATGACAGTGATTAATTTCTGTTGCTAAATTCTTTAGTTTCTATAACTAATTTAAGATAGCTGCCACTTTTTAATAACTAAAGGATATAAATCCAGTGGGGTATTTTTTCCTAGGTAATTGATATAACATCTTCATATTAGTGACTATAAATTATGTCTCTGTTACCCCATTCTGTCACCCGGTAAGGCTGCTCCAAGTATGCACAACACAGGCTGTGGCTGTGCTGTGGTGCATACAATTTTTCCTAAACAACAAATCGTAGAGGCAAACACTGTCTAAACCAATAATTTACGTATGATTTCATTCAGTTGAATGAAAAACCCACTAGGCTTGCAATGCTGCTTTGTTTGCTGATTTTTTTTAAAGGTTAGTGTTAAGCAAGTTAAAGAAATCACTCTCTTAGGTGGAACCAATATTGAGATTGGAAAGGGGAACTATCATTTACCTATTTTATTTGACCAAAAAAATTAAGTTTCCAAAATATCCCTAATTAGTAAATAGAAAAATAAAATCCTTAAAATTTCCAAGAATTAAAAAATTCCCCACTTTGATGACTAATTTCTTCTAAGTGAGCACAGTTCCTCTCAGTGCATTTAAACACTGCATTCCCTAAATGCATCTACAGAAACTATGATTCTTAAAGAGAGTCTGTTGCTATGATACAAACACAAGCAGAAAGCTAAAGTACCAGAACTGATGCCAAATGTATAAATGACTTTTGGATTACACCGGTGTTGGCTTATATGTGACATAATTCTGTCTCTTAACCAAATAGTGTGGGAATAGGTTCTAACTGGTCTCAAAATGGTATCCAAAATACTCAGAAAGAATGAGGACATCTGTGAGTATTTATACCCCATAAAAGCATGTCGGTCCTTTCTTAGATCAAGGAATCCCAGCTGCAAATGAATAAGGGTCCCTGAAATGATGTTGTCAACCCTTCTCAGCCATTGGCAGCAAGGACGCCCCTATAGTAGCACCCTGAGTACTTACATATAACTATAATTGATTGCAGTTAACTTTATATGATTTGTAGATCAATGCTGACTGCATGTTTATGCAAAGTGTCTCTGTAAAGAAATGAGACTAATTTTCTTCTTGAATAACTTGTGAAGACAGAAGAGCAATCACATTGCAGCAAGAATCTATGGCAGCATGTTTCAATGTGCAGCGGCAGTATTTCCAAGTTCAACCAGTCAACTTCACATGCTAACAGCTGCAGTGAATATTGCTTTATGTCGGAACAAAAATGGGTGATCACTTAAAGCAGAAAATTAATGTGGAGTTCTATGTGATAAATCTTCAACACATCCACTTGATATGCTAAAATAAGCCTCTGGGAATGAAAGGATGTTGAAAGCCACAATTTTAATGCCAACAAACTTTTTTAAAAGGTTGTGGAAGATGTTTATGTTGCTACGCAACATGACTATCTGCTCAGTGTCTGAGATTCATTCATAAAAGTGATGAAAACATTAAAGATTTAGTTCATTTAATTAAGACACAAATGGTGGCTACAGACTTATACTAAAGGAAGGAATAAATAACTTCATGAGTACAGGGCTGATGAGGACATTAATGTCCATTCAGTTTAGCCATCTCTGTTTACAGATAAGGAATCTAAGACCAAAATCAAATGACTCCTAAATGGTAAAATTAAAA